GCAGTAGTACCTCGAACAGACTGTGGTCCTACTGATGGGGACACATGCAGGGTAGCTGAGTTCCTCAGCAGGTTCCCACAGTGTAGGAGTTAGCATGCTTACCCTCTCCTTTGGTTTCTCCTCTGTTACCTAAATAGAAAATACAGGGCAGCAGCTAAAGCATCCATAACACACCCACCAGCATTACTCCCAGTTTACCTCTGTGACACATTATATGCTGTATAATGTCATCCAGTGGGTCAGAAGGATCAGGGGTCAGTTTTTATGCAGACATATAAGCATGTGTCTTTTTCTGGTGCTGCTCAGATCAAGGACAAACAAACGGAGCATGCTGATCCATTTGTTGATTATAAGGGTGCAAACAAATTAGACTAAGGTTTCTGTGCTGCTGTCGTGGTTTGACTCTGATGAAGACACGACGGAGTCGAAACGTTTCTCTGATTTGTTTGCCTCCGCAGCCCAGCCTGTTCCTGAGCGGAAACACAATCTGCTACTCCCAGCCATCCAACATGGCCGCCACAGAGCAGGTGACATCACTAAATGTTTGGGCTGTAACATTTGTGATAAAGACCCATGTGACTGAAGGGTAAAGTACGTGACAGTGGCCAATACAAAGTTGGGGAGAGTGATGTACGTAATGTACGTCCCCAGCTCGTCTGCGGCTGCGGCTGTCGAGTCACATCCAATCAGGGAATCGTCACTGCTCTTCGTTGCACTTACCGAGTGTGTGTGTGTGTGTTTCTGTTGTCTCTGTTACGTGTGTGTGTGTTGGATGACATTACTAAAAAGAGTCGACATGTTACACAGCAGTGAAGGCTCACAACCTCTCAGCTCGGCTCTGTGCCCGTATGCATGACAAGACCTCTGGGACCCCCTAAACACACACACACACCACCCCCACCTTCTACAAACTCGGCAGCCCAGCGCCTAATAGCACCCAGAGTCTTCCCCTGGTGTGTGTGTGTGTGTGTGTGTGTGTGTGTGGCTGCAGCAGAAAGAACACTGCGACCTAAAAACCCAGCTCACTGAGAGCGACTGCGCGCCAAACAGAAGGCTCATCCAAGTGTAAACACACACAGAAGCACACAGGGACAAGTGTGAAATGTCGGACAAGGCACGTGGACACACACTCACTTGAACACACAAACAGGCAGCAGATGCAAACATATAAACACACATTAACACACTTGAGTGGAAGATTACACACGTATGTTTCTAAGAGTGTGTATTAATCAGATTGGATGTGGGGGGAAAGGCTAGAAAAGCAGCTGAGAGATTTGTGAAGTTTGCAGAGTGTCGAAGTGGTGGACACACACACACACACACAATGTCGGGCCGTGTGTGTGTGTGCTTTGGGTCTTGAGGGGGCGACCAGTCCCACACACTGGCTCTCTGGGCTAAACCAGAGCTTTTTGAGTTTGGCCTGAAGACGAGTCGCACAGACGGGCTGTGCAGGAGTCAAGGTTAAAGCTGTCAGGACGGAGCAGGAACAAACCATGACTCAGCTCAGTTCATCAGCCACATTTCAGCTGCTGTTCCTCTGCATGTCTCTGCTTCATCTGTACATTTGTAAGAAGGACATTTAAATCAGAATATCTCCATCTCTGTTTTACAAAATGCGTGGGTTATTTTTCAGATCCAAAGTGCAGCAGCGAGTCTCTCCAGAGTCTGCAGGCAGCTGGAATCAGGAGTGGTATCCACAGCTTAATAAGCTAACTGGCTAACAGGCACCAAGTCTAGCGTGACTCTTGTACGTGCACGGATACGATGAGCCCTAAAGCCCCCAGTCAGTATTCTTCAGTGTACTGGCTGTAGTTCATACAGTACACACAGTTGTTTGTTGTTCACATGTGGCCAGCACTAGCCGGGTACAGTCAGCACTGCTGTGGATCTCTGTGTTTCACCGAGTCCCGTCACCAGCCGCAGTAATGTAACTGCAGAAGTCTGCAGGTGGTGCACATGCATGCGACGAGCCTTGCAGTGTGGGGTTGGGAATGCACAGGGACAGAGCTGAGACAGAAATGTGAGCAGTTTGGTGGATTTACAGCCTCTTTAGCTCCTGGTGTTTGTGTTGACACTCACATAGATTAGAACACTTACACTGTGTTTTCTCATGGTGCAAATGGTGTGTGAGGTCGTGGGCGGGAGGTGTTAAAGTCTGTGTTTGGCCTAATCTGTGTGTGTGTGTGCGTGTGTGTGTGGAGATTGCAGTGTGTTCTGTGGTATTAAAGGGCTTAAAGAGGGACGTGATTGTCTGATCACTCAACATTTTCCTAGATGGTCTCACACATCTGGACTTGGCCCTAAACATGGCTTCTTTCCCAGTATATTGCCGTTATGACAGCTTTGCCTTTTCACACTAAACCAACCCCAGGCAGCACAATGTCACCCCTCTGTTTCAGGCTGCTGTTGGCATCCTGTTAGTAAGAGGCGTGATGTTTAACATGACGCCTCGCACGAGGCCTGTCAGAAGTACAACCTGTGCTTTCAAACCAACAGCAAGTGAAGCGAGCGTCAACGTGCTTTTGCTTGTCTTGCACATTTATGACATGATTCTGATTCGAGCACAGTTGCTGTGCATTTCGTACAGCATATTAACGATTATTACACTGATTCATGTTTGATTTAAGACTATATCCCCCAGTGGTGAGTCACAGAGATAACACATCATCAGACATCACACCCCTTCACCCCAAGCTGCCTCTCCCCTTTTACACTGGGTGAATCCCAGTTCCTTGTTTTTGGAGCTTTTCCCAGTCGAGGCTCTAACAACAGAGGGTGTTGTTTGCTGTACAGACTGTAAAGTTCTCCTAAGGCTGATTTGTGGTTTGTGACATTGGGCTGTTTACCGGTTTAAACAACTGGATTTGACTCTGCTGGATTCAGTGAGCTCTGACTGACATCTAGTGGACAGGTCCGGTATTGTCCTTAGCTGGTTTATATCATTCAGTTAACAAAGCATTTTATTGACTGACTTACACACTAAGATCTGGGGACACGGTGGCCCCCAAAAATAAGGGAAGTCTTCTTCCTGTGCCCTGGAACACTCCTGTTTGAAAACTAGGAGGCATCGTCACAGTCACCCCCGACCCTGATCCATGACATATAGGATAAGGATAATCACCTTTATTGGCCAAGTATGTTACACACAAGGAATTTGTTTCCCTTGTGGCGCCACCTCAACCGATGGCTCTAACCATCGGGGGCAACGGGGGGGTTCAGTGCCTTGCCCAAGGACACTTCGACACATGGACTGCAGGCACAGAGATTCACCAAACAGTAATTACAACTGTTTGGTGAATCTGTCATAGTAAAAAGGAAAAACATTACCCAGTGAAATGATTATAATGCAGCATCAAATGAAACTACAACTACCTTTGAACTATATTTGACTATATATACTTCATAAATGTATATATGTATCTAAAAGCCCATAATGGTTTAAAACTCAAAAATGGAAAGGAAAACACACCACACTGGTCTTAAAATAAATGGAATATCTGTCTTTGCTTAGGTATAAAATAAAATCAAAAATGCAAAGTAGCAGGTGGTATTTAAAGGAACTGGCCTGCAGGAGCTGCCTTAGCAGCAGTGGGACATTTTCAGTTTGTGAGAATTTTACTCGAAACAGGCTTATACGTCACACGATTTGCATAAGTTATGTGCAAAAAGAGATTGTCCATCCTCTTATATGCTACTAAAAGACTTATAACCCAACACGTCATGCAAATGGAAGATGGAAATTAAAAACATTACTTCCACAAAAGCACGTCTTTATTCAAAAAAATTGTCAGATATTATAGCTGAAATGAAAACCCAAACATTTTCTTGATTTGTTCCGTACACTACTAATCTGTTTCAATGGGTTAAGGGACATAGTGTATCCTTAGTGGGACTATAATGTGGGGTGTTGTGTATTTTTGAATTTACACAGTGTAACCAGGGGGTTTAGTGGCCACTAGCTCAGAAAAATGTTGATACTCCTTTGTGAAATCCAGAGATACATTCAGCCGTCAGCAGTGCTGGACTGGACAGGAAGGAGTACGACAGCAGTGCTGGACTGGACAGGAAGGAGTACGACAGCAGTGATGTGGTGCTTGTAGTCTTCACCCTGTCTTCACTGTTCATCTCTATCCCAGTGACTTTGGTAATTCACCAGTAGGTTGATCTTCACTTTTGTTTCTTTACTGTACCCTGTGTGATTCGTAGTATCATTTATTTTACATTTGCAATCAGTGATTGTTTTATCAGTGATTGTTTTCTGGATCTGTTTATCTGCAGAACATTTTCATGATTAATTGATTATTTGTCCATAAAATATCAGACAGTAACTATAATTACTCACAGTCCGAGGTGATGCCTTCCGGCGTGTGTCCTGTCTGACCAGTGTAAAACCCAAAGATGTTCACTTTACTATGAGTCACGGCAAAGAACGGATCTACAGCAGCTGTTTGTTTGATCATTACTGTTATTGATAATTATTAGTATTTGATTACTTATCTATTTGTTTCATTCATATTAGACTTGTTTAGTATTTTTGTTATTTCTTTGTTCTTTATTAGTTGTTTAGTTCATCTGTGTGGTGGCACTGGTGGCACAGTGAGCACCTTAGGTTTATATGTGGGCAGGCACCAGGCCGGCAGTGTGAGAGCAGCAGCCTGTGCGGTGGCACTGGTGGCACAGTGAGCACCTTAGGTTTATATGTGGGCAGGCACCAGGCCGGCAGTGTGAGAGCAGCAGCCTGAGGCAGGATTCCCTCTGTTCTCCAGTTTGCCTGCTCGCACCGGCTGAATAAAGCTTAAGAAACAGCTCCTGGACTATGGACTTCTTCTGCCTGTGTGCATTCTCATCCTGATGGTGTGTCAGTAGTCTTTTGATCGTAAGCTTGGTAAAAGTTTGATTTTTGAACTGAACAAATTGCTACTATAGGATCAGATCCTCAGAATTGAGCAACTATTTCACTGTCAAAACAGATCAGTCTTGTGTTGACTGACAAATCATTGCAGCTCTAATTATTTTATCTTTACTTCTAAATGGTCCAGTTGTTGCCACCTTGCTCTCCACAGTCGTTTCCTTCCGCTCTACCTGGATCCAGTGTTTCTTTGCTAGCTCATCCAGATGTACTGTACATTGTTAACAGCAGTTCTCATAAAATTAGGCAGCGTCATCAACATACTGGTCACAACAGGAGCCTGAACCAAACATCATCGTTTAAAACAAATGAAGTGTAGTGGCCATCTTTGACCTGGCTCAGCTGCTTCCACCAGGAGTTACTTTAAAACCCACCCAGCCTGATGCGATAGCCACATGTGGGCTCATCTCTGGTTGTCTGGCACCAGAATGCAGCTGAGACTGGGCCACAGTGGGCCCGAGTCAGCTGGAGACTGGTGATGCATGCTGGTACATGTAGGCTTGGCTAAGTGGAAGGACACTAATATTTATCAGTACACATGTATGAATGTAGTTCTAATGGACTACAGAGACCATCAGCAGAGAGTGGACTTCCTCTCCAACTGCTGGCGAGATTTTCCTTTAAAAATCTGGAGGAGGACGTGTTGGTGCCCAGTGGTGAAACGAAGGAGAGAGAGCGTAGGCCGCCGTCTCTGGCTCTGTTAAAGGAACAGTTTAGCTTTTTCTCTCAGGATGTCTGGGGGTGAACCAGCAGGAAGCCAGCTGGTGTCGGTGGACTTTGAAATCTTTGGTTACGTTCAGGGTTTGTATATTTGACTCCCCTCCTCCTTCTGCTCCGCTCTGTGATCGAGGCTGTAAAATGATCTGTGCTGCCTAATTTAGGAAGGAGCTGCAGACTCACTGCTCTCTCACTTACTGCAGCTTCAAGGTGGAGTCATAAGAATTCATTGTTATTTCAGCTGGTGGAAGTAAGAAAACTAGAACTTTTAGCATATAGAGTAGAAATAAAGGGCTAAATGTGTTTTATAAGCATCCTGTTATACTGAATCACTGTTGTTTTCTCAGTGCACATTTTGAATCACTGTCTCTGTCTTTTTAATTTTTGGCAGGAGTTTGTTTCCGGATGGTGAGTTTCTCTGCGACTGTTTGCTCCCATCACTTCCTAAAACTACACCACAGCCTGGGGCTGCCCATGCCCCGACCCTGTGTCTGCAGACATGCCATCCACCTGTGCAGTGTCACTCCTGTGGTTTGTTTGGCTATGGGACAGACAACAATAAGTGATTCTGATGTTCTGCTTTCTCACTGTTGGGACTCAGAACAGCACCAAGAACAACACACCACTTTGTAGATGCAGCCTATATAGTTTTTAGATGACAGATAAGACTAAACCAAAATAAAGAGCTGCACGTTCATCACATCACAACAGGCAGCAGCCTGTTTTTTAGCTTTGGTAGCAGCAAGGTTTTTACTGTCAGTTTGTGACAGTGCACAGATAAACAGCCATGGCCACAGCTTTGTTTTTCACAGTGGGCTGTGACGAGAACAGGTCGGCTTGAGGGGCTGCGTCCTTTGTGGTACAAGTTCAGTGACTTCTTTGATATTTATTGTACAGATATGTACACCATTAACTCCTTGCTGCCCTTCTTCCAGTACACAGAGAGGGAGGGTCTGCGTCTCGGCCTGGTCGGCTGGGTGAAGAACACCTATGGTGGGACGGTGGTAGGACAGGTCCAGGGTCCTGCAGACATGGTGGAGGAGATGTGAGTACACACTAAAGAGTGTGTTACGGTGCGATGACATGTGACGGGCACTACTGGTCCATTTATCTACATCTATTTTGTTTATTTGAATGAGACCAGTAAGTGAGAATTCTCCCAGTGCAAGGCCTGCAATCTTTCCATACTGACCATGGCAATGATGAGCTCTTACTGCTCACAGCCACCAGGTGGTGCTCTTTACCTGCATTGACAGTTCTGTTTCAGGTACAGTCTGGTCACAGTCAGGCCGGAGGCATAAACAAAAATACACATGAATACCAACGAGATCACCTGAACACGTTTGTTGACAACAGCTGAGTAAACCAGGCACAACTTACAGAAACAAAACAGTAAATAAATCAATGTAAATGTCAGTGGTTTGTTGAAAGAAACAGCAAATGGCCCCACACCCTGTTCCACCTGAACACTCAGTTTAATATGAGACACTTCCTTTATAGTCTCTTATTTTTTAACCATTAATATTCCAGGAGGTATCCCCTCCTCTCCTCCCTCCGCTCCTCCTCGCCCCTTCTTCCCCATCTCTGAAACTACGTCATATGTGGTCAGGACAGCCAGAGACAGTTGTGGCAGTGAGGTAGCGCTGCAATAACAGCAAACCCCGCCCACCTGGCACTTGCAGGCAGTGAAAACCAACAGCATGAAGCACTGTTTTGTTTTTTGAAGAG